TGAACACTTTCCAATTTTGCACTTTAACGTGTATTGCATTTAACAGAGAAAATGCATCTTAAAGTTTTCTAAATACACCATGGGTTACCTCCCTTGCCTTGTGATTACAAGGTGTACTGTGATTTGTGTGTACCTTGTAATTTGAAGGCATTGCTGAAATCTGAAGGTAAATGTGTCAACAAAAAATTACGTCCTTTCTGGAAGAGTTACCTTTCTCTTCGTGCATGTCAAATAAACCTCAAAACACCTGTAATCTGTGTGCAGCATTGAAATTTGCGTACACCTTTGAAATTTGATGTAGCATCCAGATCTGATCATTCCACAACACTGAAAGTTTAGTGTAAACAAGACTATTTTAGGTCCATGCACATGATGCAGGTTTAGTGTTTTGGTATACTAATATCTAGCCTCTGAAATGAAAATATTTTACAGAAAAAAATGATCTTTATACAATATAATGTAAAGGAGCCCAGAGACTCTTAATTTTTATGTTGAACCTGCAGTAATCTAGACTTGCCAACTATTATAGACTTGCATGGTCTATACATCATGATACATTGGATATGTTTGTTTCAGGTTCTGTGTGACAGACTAATGTTTTGGTGGAAATTTAAGAAACATAATGACCAGCATGTTATAGAGGGATTTATCTAGACCTGCTCAGAGGACGCTATTCACCCCCAAGTCTACGGCAAATATCAAAAAAATATTCCCAATTTGGAATTAAACATTTCCCAATTCATGTTAAAATATAATGATGTATATTATTAATAACTAATTTTATGGATTTATAGAAGTAACCTGTGTTCATTTATGACAAGACCAATAAATAGGAACAGCTTTTAATGCTGGGTTGTATATTATTGCATTAAATGCAATCTCAAAATACCTCTGAATTTAAGAAAATACAAACTTTTAAAAAGTCACAATTTATTTTCCCCCAATTTTCCAGCCAAGGGCACTCAGTTAATAATCTTGGATTAATCACTGTTATATATGGCTAAATAGAGCAATAAAGTGTCAGCCTGAACTGAAAAGAATAGTTAATTGTTGCACTTGTACAGTCAGTCTCAGTCAATGTCAAAAACTTTAGTTCACAATATACTGCAAATTCACAATACATATCGCAACATAAATATTGCAATACAATTCTGGGCCAATATACAGCTCTAATATCTATTTGTGTTAAATGACCCTGCTCAGCTGTTATGGCTATAGTTGGTAGAGATAATTTAAGATTTTTTGCCACTTATTTTTTCCAACAAAACCATGCTGACAGCTGAATTTTGATAATTTTAACACAGAATTCATCTGGGGGTTACCTATGCTGGTCATAAGAGGCGACCAAATGGATCAGGTGATCGGCTTGGTGACTTGGTAGATTGAGTAACATCATACTGTACTCTCCTGACAATATGGATCTAAGCTCACAATATCAATCACTGAATTGTCTTGTCCGGACATGATTACATAGAGGCTGCTGACAGCTGGAATACTGCTGAATGTGTCATAAAAAAACAAACAAACAAACAAACAAAACATATCCCTCGTAGGCCCTAATGTATGCGTTAATTAGATGCAGAAACAATAAAGGATGAACAGAGCTCCAGATAAGCTGCGTATCTGCGTAAAATACGCATCAGAAATGCAGAAATACGAGTAAAATAAAATCCATGCGTATCAAATACGCAACGAATATTACAGATACGCTACAAAAATAAAACTTGTGCGTATCATCAAAATATTGTGAAATAACCCTGTGTATTCGATTAGCAAATCAGAAACTTATTTTGAAATTATAAACGGGCATTCCGTCAACCTTGGCAAACTCCACGATGACAGTTACATCATGATCATTTGCCATCACACTTTCTTGTGGAAGTATCATGGTATTTTTGAGTCCTATAAAGCTCTCGAACAAACACGACACCAGTTTGCAGGGACTAGATGAATAGTAAAAACTAGTAGGTAACAGAAATTTGAATACCCAGATAGAATTACTGATACCCAATGATTTTAAAATGCATGGGTAAAATACCCTCTACACCAAAAGCTTATCTGGAGCTCTGGATGTAGCCCATTATGTAATATCCATTCCACAATTTCAGTTACTAGTCAAAACCTGCGTCGTAAAACTTTGTTCGGTCTTGTGAGGAAGTCTCTATGATAGCTTCCATTGTGTATACAGAGTCTGGTCCAGGCAGTACATGTGGGCAAGTAGGTGGTGACCTGCCATCCTTCCCAATGACCAAGTTTAGCTTGGAGGACGTTACACAGGAAGTTCTCATTTTTACATAATAGCTCGTATTCCTGCCTGAAATAAAGTATGTCAGTAGATGTGTGATCCCTTATCACTGCTTATCATGCACTTCCGTTAACATGGTATTAACATGATACACGTTGCCAAAACTAATCACCAGCCTGGCAGGTTAATGTTGATCAAGAAAGCAATTTCAGAATTATGTTTGATTGGCATTCTAAATGTTGGCAAATAACTTGAAATAAGTAAGAAAAATGTACAACTTTATGGATAACAACTTCTGGTTGGATATAGCGACATTTTGATGACAGATGTAGATTCTTACATCGATTCGTCACTCCAGTTTGATAACGGTCTAAGAACTTATATCAAAACGTTGCTATATGCAATCAACCAGAAGTTGTTATTCATAAACCTTAGGTTTTTCTTCAAAATTATCAACTCTCATCCTACCCGCACATTTAGATTCAAGCAATGTCTAACAGTCTTGCTTAGTAATGTAATAGTAGGTCGACTGTCATTTTTGAAAAGGTTTTACTAAAAGGTGACATCACCGGTATCTGTGGTATCTGTCATAGGACTGCTCACACTATTTCAGCTAAATTCTTGTGTTCCAATATTTGTTTCCCAGATTACCAAAGTTATTCTGTAATTCTATAAATGTTTACAAAAATACCAAGAAGTCCAGAGTGGTAGAGAAGGTTTCCGTCGTAGCAAATAAATTTTAATATAAAAACAAATGTCAACAGTATTTACACTTTGTTCTATGTATAATTTTGTTTTGTATAGATACATGTCAACCATACTCTGTTGTACATCACTTGCTTGATAACGGTGTTAGAACCTACTATGAAACGTCACTACTAATTATAATAAAGAAGTTGTTCATCTGTATATCTTATCCTTACTTAGTATTCCAACTTCTAAATGCCTCTCAACGAAGTTGTTTTGACACATTTTATCCTTATCCATAGATGCTTTGAGCTTGTTTAGTGTTGTCATAAATCTCAAATATGCAGTTATTTAAAAATAACAAAGTCTTGTTTTCATTCATATAAACACATCTGAATTTTTTTAAACTTTTTAATTCCTGACATGGGTACATTGTGTGAAGCCCATTTCTGGCTCATTCATTCACTCACTCACTCTAAACATTTTATTCAATTCTTGGTTAAAGTATGAAAATCCTCTGGGGCAACAAAGGTGCTTATCCTACCCCTCTTGGGTAGCTGTCTGTGCTAAACACTTTTGAGTCCACTAGCCAGTGGTAGAAACTAACGTTTTTAGTCCACTAGTCCTTATAATGATAGCATATAGCAAAACCCTTATACATGTTATAAACGGCAAATTTCTACTAGTCCTTATAATACCTTAACCATTGGGCAGTTTGGCAAGGACTACAGGACTAGTGCCAATTTCTAACCCTGCTAGCCTGAACATGATTGTAAGCATCATTGTATTGTACATTTTATTGTAGTCATATGGACTTTTATTAGCTAAGTTTACTAGACCAAACTGAATTTTACTAGACTTGGTTTTAGACTTGTACCTAAAGTCACGACTGGGGTAGGTTCAACAACAAAACAGGAACTACATTTTGTCTGCCCCAATAGATGTATTTATAGCCTCTGATCAGAGATAATATGCTCAGATGAGCAGGGACTACTGATGTCATGTGTAAAAATAGAAATACAGTTTTTAACTCATTCCCATGATTCATAGCAAGCATTCAGATGGTAATAGCTAAATCCAAAAATAATCATAACATGTTGGTGTATGTTCTGCAAAATTGATCGGTATCAGCAACATTTAAATCTTGTAAAGTTGGCCATGCAGTGAAGTGCTAACAGTAGCATAAATTTAACTAGACCTGCTCAGAGGCTGATATTTGGTTTGGCTCCAAGTCAGCTGCAAATGTCAAAAAAATTCTGAAATTGAAATTAGCAATTTCCCAATTCATGTTGATATGACTATAATCAGAGCTCCAGATAAGCTTTTGGTTTTGTGGGTATTTTACCCATGCATTTTAAAATCGTTGGGTATCAGTAATTCTATCTGGGTATTCAAATTTCTGTTACCAACTAGTTTTTACACATGTGGGTATTTAAGTTAAATATTTAAAAACACTATTCATCTAGTCCCTGCAAACTGGTGTCGGGTGGGTTCGAGAGCTTTATAGGAATCAAAAATACCGCGATACTTCCACAAGAAAGTGTGATGGCAAATGATCATGATGTAACTGTCATCATGGAGTTTGGCAAGGTTGAAGGAATGTCCGTATATAATTTCAAAATAAGTTGCTGATTTGCTAATCGAATACGCAGGGTTACTTCACAATATTTTGATGATACGCACAAGTTTTATTTTTGTAGCGTATCTGGAATGTTCGTTGCGTATTTGATACGCTTGAATTTTATTTCACTGCATATTTCTGCATTTCTGATGCGTATTTTACGCAGATACGCAGCTTATCTGGAGCTCTGTATAATTGATGTCATGGCTTTGTCGATGTGACTTGTTTTTCACTGATAACAGGACCAATATAGAGAAGGCGGCTTTCAATTTTATGTCACATTATTGCATCAAATGCAATGTTAAAATATAATTGAAATAAAGAAAATAAGACCTTTAATAAAATACAAATTTTGGACAAAATAACATTTTAATTTGATTGACAGCAATGTAATCAATAACACATCAGAGGTCGCTAGGTCACCGTGACATTCATTAATAAGGAAGGAAGTTGAGAAAAAGCCATAAGGAAGCACTTGTACCACTTGTACAGGGATAAGAGTTGTCCTTGTTTCCAGTTTCAGTAAACATGGTAAACATCACTTCCATGTGTGCTGCATGTGTTTGTGAGGTGGGTCTGATATCTGATCTTGTGTAGTGAAGTTTGTATGAGTAATGCTGTCAGAATTTCACCATTGGCTACAGAATCAGGGTCAGGCAGTTGTCAGCTTTCCCCAGGCAAGTAAACCATACTAAACTCTCACAATCATTTTGTTCTGGTTGAAGGCCAGGTTGCCTTTATGAATTTCCTCACGCATGTTAAATTTAATGATGACTTTTCAAACTATCCCAATTTGCTGGTCACTGACACTTAATTTGAAATCTGTTTGTTTATTTGTTTAATGCTGCACTCAGCAATATTCCCGCAACTCAAAAGGGAGAAAAAAGGTTTGGTTGGTCAGAACAACCTAAAAAACATATATTTCACTGTATTTTCTTTAACATGTTTAAGCTTCAAATGTTCGGTAGATAATGTTGTTGTTGCTGTTTAATGCCCCACTCAGCAATTTTCCAGCTATATGACGGCGGTCTGTAAATAATCAAGTATTGACCAGACAATTCAGTGATTGATATAACGAGCATCAATGTATGCAATTAGGATATGATGACATTCATCAACCAAGTTAGCAAAGCAAGATCTAATAGTTATATACTGAGGGAAACAAATAAGGGAACACATGAAAATACAAGTGCTCCTTTATTGTTTTCCAGGTTTTGTTCCCAAGCTATGGATGTCACTGTGGGTAAAAATCTGGGAATAAATAAAGGGACACTGCAATGAAATGGTGTTCCCTTATTTGTTTCCCTCAGTATATAGAAGTTCCATGTGTGAAACATTCCCTGATGAACACTCCCACTGATCCGTCATTGCTGTAGTAACACCACTTGCTTACAGAATACATTATCTCACCTTACATTAAAATACTAGCTTTTGATTAGTTAATGAGCAGGCAATTATTATCCATGTAACCCGCTCTAGTATCGTTTGGCTGATATGAACTGATGCTTATCCGAATGCATAGGGTGAAGGCTCAGTATGTTTGAGTCGTCTGCTTGCTGTCAAAATGGCTGAATCAAAGCTTTTTAGTCTGTGAAACTTCGAAACATATTCCGGATCTGTATGAATGAATGTCGGTGAGATCAGTCCTTCGTCTTACAGCTTGAGGTACATAAGCTCACACAGGGTACATCATACCATATACCCCGATGGATCAGTTGACAACTTATGATGTCAGCTGTTGGATTGTGTCCCTGACATCATCTTGCTTTAGGGGCGGTCGGGTAGCCTAGTGGTTAAAGCGTTCGCTCGTCACGCCGAAGACCCAGGTTCGATTCCCGACATGGGTACAATGTGTGAAGCCCATTTCTGGTGTCCCCCGCCGTGATATTGCTGGAATATTGCTAAAAGCGGCGTAAAACCATACTCACTCACTCACTCATCTTGCTTTAAAGCACTGGTTTGTCTCCATCCAGGGCCCAGATCCTTTCTTTAGCCATTGAGTATTTATTCACAGGTTATAATTCACTCTGCGTTTGATAGTTTACTTTGGATATATATTCAGTATATTCATACTACCTTGGGTCCAATCTATGGTGTAGTTTTTACCCAAGATGGAACCTTTTTTAGATGTAATTCTGCTTAAAATGCTGTTTCAGATGACTTCCTATTTACATCTGTCCAGGTGATGCCCCATGTGTGTAACACATCGCCTTAGCTCACTCCAGCGATAAATGTCTAGGAGACAATAAGCGAAACGTAGCACATTTTGCATTATTCATTGCAGTATATACTTCAAATTCATGATGCCTGTACTCGATCAGTTTTTTTAGAACAAAGATCTGTAAGACAAACAGATACACAAACTGAAAGGCTACTTTGAGCAATTACACAAGCATGCAATCAACTCAAAATAATTGTGTTATAGGGATTTGTTGTGCGTATTTTACAAAAGTAGGTAACTTAAAGGGCAAGTTCACACGGAAATGAACCAATTTTTCTTGTACTTTTTCCACATTAAAAGTGTTAACATAGAAGTGTCATAGACAAAAATATAAAAACATCAAATTTAATTAACATATTTTTTGCATTAAAACGATTTATATTTTTCACTTTTACCAAGTGTTCTATTTCCATAACAAAAACACCATGGCTTATGCCCCTTGCAATATGACGTCATTGGTGCCAATTGATAAACATTATGACGTCATCATGCTTTGTTAGAGCCGCTTCACGTGGTGTAGGTACAGTTTTGTGATTCTAGCGTCTCAGATGCCAGCCAGAATTGTGTTATGCTGAGTCACCACTGCGCCGGAGTGTGTCGTAGACCATGTTGTTTTACCGCAAACTGGTCGTTGATATCTTTTGCGTTGGGAAAGACAGGGACCCAGTTGAATTGGCACCAATTACGTCATAATCTAAGGGGGATAACTCAGGCCTATTTCGCTCGTAAAACGAAGGCTTCATAACGGCATATCATTTTCACACTATTGTGAGCTTCCTACTTTCACTGTGAAACAAAATGAGTGTATATTTTCAAACACAGATACTAACTAATTCTAAAATTGCGTTTTGTTTAGAAAAAGAAAGAAAGTGATTTTTGCGTGTACACTTCCCCTTTAACTTATCTTGATTGTTTACATGTTGCCATGATTATGATGACATTTAGAGTTCCCTGCTGGGTAGGGGTGACTATTGGTCTTGAAAGAAACTATTGCGATAACTATTGGTATTGCAAGCAACTATTGCGATAAATATCGATAGTTTTCAGTGTATCATTTTAGATGGATTTTAGAGCTGAATTATACCTTGGAACTGAAGTTTCCTTTGAATGTGATAACCATTGAAACAAATAAAATGTAAAGTTGATATATGACAGATTCGTTTTTTCTTTACCCTAATAATTTAAGAAAAAGAAACTTCCACATTACCATGTGTAAATTACTACCTCTCATCAAAAGAAAAACAAATTTGAACAGCATTGCATGTATTTTATTGATATGTTAAATACAATCGAAACCATCGATATTCCTAACTGAAATTGATACTATTGATCGGAAACTGATTTAATAATTGATTTATTGACTTTAAGTGCTTACCAATAGCAATATAGCAATATTTTGATTTATCATCACACCCCTACGGTGGGGATTCCAAGTTAGAATAGATGCCCAGCAACCTAGGCTGGTCATGGGAGGCAACTTCATTTACTGTACCTCGACATCGGTGGATTGTCTCCTTCACTCGATTATCGGCTGAAATATTGCAGTGTGAGTTGTTAAACAACAAACCAACAAAACATTCAGAGTAAAGGCCATGATATTCATTAGAATAATCAGCATATGAAGAAAATAATAAACATGACAACAAATCATATATTTCTTACATTTAGTACTTTGAGTATTACTTCTTTAGCTGAACAGGATGATCAATAATGTCAAACATCAAAATTTTATTCTTCCATTTCTCAAAATTCTCAACCCATTACTCTGGACCTGATTTTATTGAGGATGAGTTTTTGAAAATCAAAACTATCACTATGACCATAGGTTATTAAGGTCTTTGAAACTATTAATAAAATGTTTAATTGAAATACATCATTTTCCATTTCAGATGCAGCATGTCACCTGATCAGAGATAGCTCCTGCAAGTGATTTTTCATAAAAGCTGCTGCAAAGTTGGAATTAATCACTCCAACATGGATGTGAACCCCTACAAACGTTGTGATGCCTGTTACCTGATTCCCACCCGTGTCCTGTGTATAGGGCTTGTTATCCTCCAGGGTGCTATAATAGACTACTATCTGATCCAACACAACAACAGCTACTGGTATGCATGGATAGCAGCTGATGTAGCCTTGATCTTTATATTCATCATGGCATTTCTCTTCTCATATCGTCACCTTCAACTTGTTAAAATTACTTCAAATGAACAGGCCCCTGTTCGGGCAGGCAGTCTCCCTCTTGGGTTCTTCGCCTGGTTTGTGTACTCGATCATTCTTGCAGTTCGTGTTGGAATAATATTTAAAAACTTTGCATGGAAACTTAAAGAAGAAGATTTCTTTGGTCCAAATACTCTCAAGATCGCTGTTGCTCTTTCAGCTTTAGTGTTCGTACTGCTGTTGTTATCACATCATGATGCCCCACCAAAAAGTGAACGACAAAAACACATCGACATTCTTACACAAACTGTCGTGTTTGATATTTTAGATTCTGTTGATGTCCTGGATGTGTTTTTTGAAAAGGAAAATGTGGACGCTCTTAAAATTCTCCCAGGAATTAACTGGGGAATCATCTGCATAGCGTGTGCCAACCTCATCATCCCCACTCTCCCACTCATGGCGCTGAGTCGGATACACTTCGGCTACAAGTTCCTTCCAGAAACACTGGAGACTTTACACAAGATGCTGCTGTTGCTAGTCATCAACACCCCGCTGTTTACGCTGCGTCTCATCCTCTGGCATCGACTGGATCAAGACGTGTCCACCTTCATCATGAAGAACTTTCTTGTCATTGGTCTGGTGATCTATGACTTTTACAACAAAGGTCGATTCCGGCGAATGCATGGTGGTACGGAAGAAACGGATGGTGCGAAGAAAAGGGAGATGGAAGAGATAATGCTGAGGGATCATAATGCCAGCTTTGATAAGAGTCTTCAAACATGAAGGTGAAGGTCATCACAAGGCCAAGGGTTATGACATATTTCTCTCTTGATGTGTTGGGTGAAGGTCATCACAAGGGCAAGGGTCATGACATCTCGCTCTTGATTTATTGGGTGAAGGTCATAACAAGGGCAAAGATCAACTGAAGGGCAAGGGTCATGACATCTCACTCTTGATTTATTGGGTGAAGGTCATAACAAGGGCAAAGGTCAACTGAAGGGCAAGGGTCATGACCTCTCACTTTTTTCTCCTGTCACAGCTGTGATGGGACAAAATGGCAATTAAGGCGTCACTTTGAAAGTTAAAGTAGTCAGAATACCATTCTGTTCTGAGAATTGAACACTAACGTCAATTTCTTGATGTTTGTTTGCAATACAAACTTGACAATCATTATACTACATCAGTAATTGGCTTTGCAGAAAGACAGCAAATTCTTGAAATTAAATTTCAGCATACATGGCCATACTTCACTCACTTAAGTTTGATATTCAACTTATATTTCTGTCAGACTTACTTAGATTTTTATCACTTCCTATTGTATTATTGTTTCAAAGTATTCTTTTAAATGTGTGTATGTTGTGTGTTTAGAAATGTTTCATTGTTACATGAACATTATGATTCATTGCAAAAATGCAGTAGAATGAAAGACTGGAATTAATTTCTTTTGAATTATTTATTAGATGTTTCGCATAAACATGATAAAGGGAAAAAATACTGCCAGCCAACATGTGTGGGTTAAGCCTACAGCATCTATACGGTATCTTACTGCAATGGTTTTAGATACAAATTGTTTGTTGCCATATTTGTTTATATTTTTGCATCACATATTTTAGGTCATTGTTAGTAAGCATTACAAAACATCCGTTTTACTGTAAGGAGCTTGTATTGCAGAGAGTCTTCTCTCCAGTTGTATTGGGTATGTAGTGGAGTTTATGGAAATTTATCAAAACATCAGTCACCAATAGAATTGGTATTTTACATGCAAGGTAAGATGATAAATGTATCTTCAATTTGTTCATTTATAAGTGTGTATACCTTTGTTGCAGACAAGTGAAAATATAAATTAGTTCTAAAGTCCATCACTGGATTGATCACACAACACCATAAGCATTATGAGGTCGTCAAGTTGCATCAATGGACCTAGGATATATATCTGGTTATCACCTTATACAGTTAGTTATTAAGAATTACATTTTGAAAGTAAGGGAGATTTTACACGGAACTAAAATATTTATCTGATTTGTTCATTTAGTCATTGCTAGTTAATATCTGTATGTAGTGTTAACTGTAAGTAGAGTCCACTTGGCTTGTTCATATTGCATAAAATCAAATAGAAATTTTAATATGAATACCAATGCAAAATTAAGAATTCACTGTCACAGAAATGTTTACCGGTACATACAAGTATATTTAGATGGACAATGAGGAGGTAGAAAATTCAATTTTAAACATTTAATCAGCCTAATAGTCAGCCTAGTTCATATTTAGCATTTAATTGATTCATTGCAGGTCTACATAGGTAATTGTTGTCTAAACACATAGGGAATATCCTACCGTATATAGCTGTGTGTAAGGCGACCCCACGTATAAGACGACCCCCTGTACACGCCTTCGAAATTGTACATATCTAGTCATTAGATCCTCAGGAAAACCCTTAAATTATTAATCAAAGAATTTGATGGTCTCTGTATGAAGGTTGGTACTACCCACAACACAACTCAAGGATCCACCAAGCTGTTTCTAATACTGCATACTACTGCATGCAATACAAAACAATACTCATTCACTCACTCACTCACTCACTCTCATAGATTGTTTTATTCATTCAGATCATTCACAGTTTGACAATCATCCTTGTGTTTTTTAGTTGTCCCCTGACTTTGTGGGGCTGGCTTTATCATTGTTTAACGGAAGGATAGATTGAAAAATAATATTTGTACTTGATGTATTTATTACAGAACCACTTTTGTGACAGATTTTGTAGATCAAAGAATTCTGTCAGGAATGCAACATTTAGTTTCCCAGTTTGATATATAGTGGGGTTATTGTTCTTGTCTGTTACCATGGTAACCACCTCATTCACTATCATTACACTTAGTCACTACAGACATAAGTGCTGTTGTATAAAACAATCTTAGCGCTAAGACTGTTGTGAGTCTTTGTTCAGATATGGGAGTTACGATCACCTTAGCACTAAAATTGCTTTGTACAATGTCACCCTGTAACTATGAACAGTATATAGCAATAGTCACTGGATTGCTTGCCTTTGACTGGTGAGAAGTGACTAAGTACTCAGTTTCTATTCTGAACTTTTAACACTTTTAAATGTTACATTCTGAAAGAATGTCTTGCTCAGTTCCATAAAGCTTTTTGAAATTCAGTTATGATGTTTGTGATTCACTGTGTTCATCTAACCAGAAGTTAGCCAGTTATATCTCTGTGTGGATGTGGATGAAATGAAACAGTCACTATGACTAAGATAGAGGTTTGTAAAACCCACTAGCAATGGCAATGGTACAGTTAAAATAAGGATCATAATCTGGTAAAGTATGATTTCAACAATCTATCAGCAGATCCTGGTATGGCTAAGGGATGGAACTCTGCAAAGCACATAGCCATCTGTGCACCATCTTCATGAAGAATATACTTGCTGCATCTCTAGTTTTGTACATGCAGTATATTTAGTCTGCTTCCATCTTCATCACGTTCAGGCCTGGATCGGGTCACCGGTGGCCAAGTTGTCTAAGGCACTGTGCAGAGTTGCGTCCCTTGGTCCCTTGGTCACAGAAACCTGTGATGGTGGGTTCTATTGATTACAAGTTTGCCCCAATGGTGTTTCTAGGTGTTTGTTGGTTTCACCAAAGTGGTAAACATGGTAAAGATCTGAGACCTGCATCACTTCAGGTTGACACGATGTTATGTAACTGCAATACTGTTCAATGCGGTGTTAAACCAACTCACTCACACCAGCATGGCAGCGAAGTAGTTATTACTTTGATGAACATATTTTGCTATTGAAAATGTTGAAAATATTGTAAAACATTGTTGATATTTTTTAACTTTTAATTTGAAATGAATGTCCTTTTGAAGACATTTACCTACTTTTGGTCACCTTTTTTTGATAACCAGCTAATACTATAACACATGTTTGTTACCATCATATATTTTTGAGGTCATATATATATATAAATGAAAAAAAATCAAATACTTATCCCTGTCCAGAACCATTGTAATATACTCATGTTTTAAATTTAGCATTTATAATAGTAGAATTTTGTGATGCTATGTGTTAACTTGTGAACCCCAAGAGGTATATCATGATTGTACTGATGACCCTTTGTATAAGATCAGTGATCATCATCATAATCAACATCCAGTAAGACTGTTTTATTGTAGTGGAAGTGCTGTCTCTTGTTAAAGAAAAAGACATATTCTTTATACATTTTTAAGTCTTTAATATATATTTCTTACAAATGTCTTGAAAACAAATTGTGGCAAATATTTTAAAGAATGTTCTCAATTTATCATGTGTATGTAAACAACAGTCTGCATTCTTTGTTTTTCTACTCTATTTTCGAAGTGACTTTGAAACGTTTGTATAGAAAGTTATTTTTTTAACATTTTCCAAAATCAGAGAATTATTAGTGGTGATAATTGGGAGTTGTTTTCCTGGCAACAAATAGTGTGTACAAGAAGAAATTTGTGCTTCATGAAAACAGTTGTGTTGTTGCATAAGCTTGTATATCCATGTTGATTAAGATGTATGTTTCGTGTTCTAATATGTTAATGTGTTAAGGAAATCCATTTAGTAATAGACAGACGATGAGAGGAAGCATGCAGATAAGTAATGATGTCATTCTAGGCCTGCATGGGACATGTCTTGGTAGCAGCTGGTATCATATGGACATAGCAATCCACATGTACTGTTATCTGTCATTATTGTTATTATCTACTGTGCTGTAAGAGGCGACTATGTTTGTCATATTGTCGGGTGGTCTGGCTAGGTGACTTAGTTGATGTATGTCATTGTATCTCAATTGTGTAGATCGATGCTCATGATGTCAATCACTGGATTGTCTGGTTCAGACTTAATTGTTACAGACTGCTGTCATATAGCTGGAAAATTGCTGAGTGTGGCGTTAAGCAACAACAAAATTATCTACTGAACATTTGAAGGTTAAGCATGTTAAAGAAAAGACAACATACTGTTCATAGAGTGAAATACATGTGTTTCAGGTTGTTCCGACCAACCAAACCTTTTTTCTCCTTCATGACCATGATGACTTCTCCATAGCTTTTATCACAGTTCCAGTATTTTTGTAATTTATGTCATGATGAACTGTTGGTGCAACTTGTGCCACTTTTCACATTCAACGTTTATGACAAACTGCATTGTTTTGAATAACACATGCTCCTGGTTTGGTTAGTTTTATGTTTGTGTTAATTAAAACACCATTAACTGATGTTATTTACAGGTTAGTTCTCATTATTTTACCTTATACAAAAGTGAGTGACAGGAAGTGAGATGACGACTTTCTAGGAACTGTTTTGGAGTTGAAACAGCTGCTACAAATGATCTATACTGCTACAACCCATGTTTTTTGCCCATTTGAGTAGGTTATTGTCTTACTTGCTGTGTATTGTAACCATAGGATATTTGAGAGGTGTGGTGAAACGGGGTTTAACTTTGCGTTCAAGATTATTGCACTTATATAGCAGCTTGAGTTATGTGTAGATTTATCAGTTATGCTTTGTTAAGTGTTTTCTTTTGTTACATATCCACCCGGTAGCTTGCAATAAAATTTTGTTTACACCAGCAAAAAATATGTTTGTCGTTATACCCATGGGAATCCAGGTTAGAACTGGACCCCAGCAACCTATGGTAGTCGTAAGAGGTGATTGATTGGTAAGGGGGGCACGGGTGGCCCAGTCGTCTAAGGCGCCGCGATTCACTGTGCAGAGTTGCGTCCCTTGGGCACGCCAGGAACCTATGATTCTGGGTTCGAATCCCAGTTTGCCCCAATTATGTTTCTAGGTTTGTCAGCACCATACCCATGCTCTTGGGTTTCACAGTAGTGGTAAACGTCTGAGACCTGCATCACTTGGGGCTTTCCTCCCACATTAAGCTGACACGCAGCAATATAACTGGAATACTGTTAAAAGCGGTGTTAAACCCAACACACTCACACACACTGACTAGTGAGACTTGGTGATTTGGTTGATGCATGTCATCATACCAAGATGGCATGGGATGCTGCACATAATTTCAATCACTGGCTTGTCCTGCCCAGACTTGATAATTTTCAGGCCGTCATATGCTAGGTATACCTGAAATATTGCTGCATGTGGTGGTAAATTTTGATGACAGGCACACACATGCACACACAATAGGTTTTCTTGCTTCAAAAATGTTCTTTGTTTTCAGGTACATTTGTGACTAACAAACTGTTGGGTGGAGTGGACCACTACACCCACCACTGCTTGTGGCAGAGTCAACTAATGTGTCAACTCATTTACAACCTGTGTGACCTGGGTGATTGTGTGTCACGACTTCATGGCATTGCCCTATCCACCATTGGTCTGCTTCGCCAAACTCGAATATATACACAGGTTTTTATGTTAACCCTGTAAAAGAACCTCCATTAACTCACTGACAATCCTGGGGTCCTATTCCGCCCCGTAATATCCACAGGGAGGCAATTCTGGAGCTTTGTTCTGCTCAAGAATACTCACTTTGATATATGTGCTTTGATTCCTCCATAGGAGAGTACAAAACATGAGTTAAAAGGAAAAAGGAGGGATTTTACATGGATTAAGAGTCACTTTAGAAGTTGCACATATCATATAGTCGGGTTATCACAGATATTTTGGACCGTTCTTGATCCTCATCGGACAAGGAAACGAGGCTGACAGGACAGGAAACAAGATCAGTATTGGATCTATCTTAGAGATGGACACTGAGTTCCGCAGGACCAATGTTGATGTCACACCACGGGATGTCTCGATACATGCATAAAGTCTCACATTGACACGGGGCGTGTGTTAGAAGGTCGTGGTAGTGAAGACCACAGAGAAAGCAGCTTCCTTAAACATTGTCAGGACTCCAGAGGGCACATAAATGAACAATGAACGCACACTGTTTCTTAATGTTTGGGTGGGCTTTTGCTATGAACCAGGCTGGGTGGGGCTTTCTGGTGGAATGGATTTTCCTTAAATGTTTAAGGTCGTGATCTAGAGATACTCGGGTATTCCATTCCTTCTCTTCGTGGTCATGAATGGATTTCTTTACAAAATTCTTCCAGGAACTTTGCACGGGAAATGTACCACTGACCATGAAAGCATGTAAGAAGAGTAGAAGCAGATACTTCCCCAGAACGTTCCATAAATCCGGGATGAAGCCATGTGCATTCATAGAACAGTTGTTCTTAAAAGCGAAGAGACGACTTAAGAAGAGCTGTCTGGCTAGAAAATGGTTCGGGCTGTTGCACAGGTTTCCAAGAAAGAACAATTTCCTTATGTTGATATGGGTCCTATTCTGCCCCGTAATATCCACATGGAGACAATCCTGGAGCTGTGTTCTGCTCAAGAATACTCACTTTGATAGCCCGCACCATCCCTGGCTTGCGTCAGATCAATGTGACGAATCGATTACGACAGCATAACATCCGGCCACGAGTGGTCAAAGATTTCACTGTAAAACAGAACATCCCCACACTCCCTGGGCCCCTGTTTCACCAGGTTTGGTGACGTTGGTCCAGCTGCGACAGACCTTGGTCCAGATCTGGAATGACACCCCACAAGCCTTCCCCAACCATCTTGTGTCGTCAATTAGGCGCAGTTGTGAAACTTGTGTGTCTGCTAATGTTTGTCTGTAGTTTTAACGCCGCACTCAGCAATATTCCAGACGGCGGTCTGTAAATAATCGAGTCTGGACCAGACAATCCAGTGCTTGACATGAGCATCGATCCACGCAATTGAGATACGATGACATGTATCAACCAAGTCAGCAAGCCTGATAACCCGATCCCGTTCGTCGCCTCTTACGACAAGCATAGTTGCCGTTTACGGCAAGCATGGGTTGCTGAAGACCTATTCTAACCCGGATCTTCACGGGTCGTCTGCTAATGGTGATCATACCCAATACTGACTTGTGGACTGACAATTGACCCCACGCCACTGTCTCCCTGAGATGACGTTAATGTAAAATAAATGTTCACTGCAAGAGAATAACCAGTCAAGATTATCTGCCGAAACAGATTTAATTTGGCGTAAAGGGCAAAACAGCTGTGGAACTTATAAGGACTACTGAAAACCGGCGATGACACCAGGTGTTCGCGAAAAGGGTAAGCATGTACCTATTGGTAGCACCCGCCATTCACACAAATTGCATAAAGTTAGTGTTTATTGCCTGACGCTGCACACCAGTCCCCTGACACGCAACGGCGGTCTAAAGAAACCAGAAAATCAAATGATCGATGTACCAGAAAACCAGACACGTGTTGACACTGTCATGATGAATTCATGTTTCACGGAGATCAATTTATTGTTCTGTTTCAAAATTGTTATTTGTTGGCGTTTGCTTATTGTATCCCATGATAGTCACACATGTCCACCATGACTACAAATGCCACGGAGATATTCTAAAACGTGTCACTTGACAAGTAACAGCCATTGCGGATATCAAATGGTTCATTCCAATTGCAAATGAAGTGCACTCATTGAAGTTGAAAATGCTTCGTGTTTTGAATACTTTTATCTGTTAATATCTGCGTGACCCCTCAATCGTGACGTTTAATATATTGTTGATGCTGCACGTTACTTAGTCCCCCCTCAAAGCAAGTTCATTTAATGGAACATGCTAAAGACGTCATGTCATGGGCTACATTGTGGGCCACAGAACTGATATATGGCCCGGATCTATTCAGATAAGCATACTGGGACAAGAGTACAGTACATTTGTCACTGGCGGACCTGCGGGTTGATAGAAGCACCCTGTCAATGTCTTAAACGTGGAAGGTTTGAGTTAACGGCGGCTTAAGTTTTACCGGAGGCCACTTTTGTGATTAATCATATGTTTTACGTCCCTGATTATGGACGCTTTCTTTATATATCCTGTGTATATCATCTTCATAATTGTGATAGTGTGATATATATAAGGTTTTATTATTCCTCAAAGTAAGATTGACCAATCAGAGAGCAGAACTACTAACCCCATGTGAGCCTGTACACCGTCAGTAAAATTAAATATGGTTCTTACTGACCTAATATGAGACCGTATGTCAGCCATTTTGAATTTTCCAACGCTTACCTCACATATTTTAAATAAAATTCAGGCTCTGAAATTCACTATTCGATACTGTTTTGGGTTTTTATTTCATTAATTGTGATGTACCAAGATTTTTAAAGAAACCACGTTCGTGACTAAATTGCTTGTTTAAACGTTCACATCTAGTGCATTCCATTGTTAACGTTTGTGTTAACATTAAAACGTTTTATCGGAAACATATGTACTGGACCTGTCATTTATACCGGTTGTAAGTGTCACGTTTTCATTTTGACATGACATGTGCGATAAAAATACACGATAGTATAAAAGTTTTGGCATAATAAATTCATATGACAATTACCGTCATATGGACGTATGGTGATATAAATGTGTAATAGATAGAGATAGATAGATAGATAGATAGATAGATAGATAGATAGATAGATAGATAGATAGATAAATAAAATACAAAAGTCCAAAGATGAGCTGTATAAATTACTCAAGAGTGTATACGACATTATTATTATTATTACTACATATTACATATTATATTATAAAATCGCCTGGTTACGACAAGCATAGTCACCTTTTACGGCAAGCATGGGTTGCTGAAGACCTATTCTACCCCGGAATCTTCACGGGTCAATTGTATAAGTGTACAAACGGTGTATTCTAAGTAATAGCTTCGGATTCTGACAATAATCAACCATACGTCTGGACTGGATAAGATATTAGGTTAGCAGAAAAAAACATTGGGCGAGGCTTGATCCGTATATGTATCAGTGTAAAACTAGCAGCCATACGCTCCATGGCACCTCATGTGGCTGGCTGAAATTGCGTGTCTTAGACGTGGGTTCGAATCCCAGATTCGCCCTAATAATGACTGACGAGGATCAGGTGGGTACAAACACGACCTGTCCGAGTGCGCGGCACCATGCGACGAGGGCGTGTGACGCTTGTCCATCCTGTCGTAACTGATTCAGCAAAAAAATGCTGATACACACAGAAACAACAAACACGTTCCATACTACAATCTGTATTCTTCAACCTGTCGGGTACAAGTCTCATCTCTGTCTACATATAAAACAAATTTGGGAAAGCAAAAGTGATTTCCTTGTGAGTATAAAAATATAACTAAGATACATGTATCTAAAGCATGACATGAGTCATGGCGGTGGCATAAACATGAAGGCAGTATCTAGAACATTTTGCGGCAGTCGATTCACACAACAGGGTGACCCACAAATATATATTCTGCATCCTTGGCTATGGGATCGATAGAATTCGCAGAAATCTTAATTTTTTCGTGTAAATCTTAGTGACACCCAGTCATGCAATTGTGTTTCAGAAAGTGAAAATGCTTTTCACTGCTTTAAAATGAATACAATTTTATTTGGTAATGTGAATGTTTAAGAAAGTGTAAATGGCGTTCTTTTAGAGCAGTCCATGAATATATTATTGCAAGCCAAAGATTTCATTAGTTTCATGATATGATCGATATTGTATTTTACGCTTCATTTGTATATGGCAAAAAAGTGGCTTTTAGAAAACAAACTCTTTTGGGCCCAAATTCCGTTAACCCAAAAACAATAACCCAAAAAACAAAAACAACTAAAAACAACCAAACATCTCGTCTTAATGTGGTGTCTCCATCATTTCTAGTGGAGCTATTTTCGACAATATTTGCATTTGGCACACATGTTACACGGAAGAGTTAATGGATGATAATACTGATGTAATACACGTCATGCTCTGATTACAGAATTATCATCCGCCATGATGGCGTAACTGTAATAGCAACCTAAAACTTCCAGTTCATTACCCACAAAGCCAGGCAGCTGGAAACGTCTAAGAGTGAGTGAGTAAGTATGGTTTTACGCCGCTTTAAGCAATATTCCAGCAACATCACGGCGAGGGACGCCAGAAATAGGCTTCACACATTGTACCCATGTGGGGAATCGAACCCGCTTTAACCACTAGGTTACCCCACCGGCCCGGAAACGTCTAAGATATATGGAAGGTCACTGTAAATGATAAATTATTATTTAAAGCTACACAATTAATACATGATTTACAATCAAACTAAAGGTTTAACTTAGGGATGGGGGTTCTGAATGATGTTCAAGTAAAAGGAAAAATATAATTGGCAATGGTACCAAGTAAGGATAGGATTTATGGATTTATGGTAATGATACCGTAAACGGTACAACCTCGGTTGTCGGGGCTCCGCTACACCGGAAACGCTGCTCCCTGGCCAATTACTGTTAGCGACGTCTTTAGAGTTTGATGTTTAACGTCATACTCATTCCTGCTGCATGACGGTGGTCTGTAAATAATCGAGTCTGGACCAGACAAGCCAGCTGAAATATTGAGCACGGCTTTGAACAACGAACATATAGGACTTCCATAGTCATTCGCCTTGAGCAGCATTGTTAGTATTCACTCATTCACCTACGGTGGGACAGGTATGGTTGGGGGTGCTCCAGTAATCAGCTGAATAGTGAGTGAGTGAGTGAGTTGGGTTTAACGTCGCTTTTAACAGTATTTCAGTGATATCGCGGCGTGTCAGCATAATGTGGTAGGAAAGCCCGAAGTGATGCAGGTCTCAGACGTTTACCACTTCGATGAAACCCACGAGCACGGGTATGGTGCTGACAAACCTAGAAACATAATTGGGGCGAACCAGGATTCGAACCCAGAATCGTAGGTTTCTGGCGTGCCCAAGGGACGCAACTCTGCACAGCGAATCGCAGCGCCTTAGACGACTGGGCCACCCGTGCCCCTTCAGCTGAATAGACAGTTGTTGGTTCGGTACAGTAAAAGTAGTGAAATAAGAAACTGTTACATTGTTATTTTCATGCACACTTATACCTGGTTAGAATGATCGCGAGAAGCTGTCAGATAACTGGGTACATGTCATGTTGCTGCATGTTTGGGAACAACCGGAAATAACGTCATCATGGCCAATGACATTAAAACGATTGGTTGTCATTAGAGTTGTTGGTTTGTACTTCTAGGCGCCGTTCTATCCACCGTAAGAAGCGCGGACAGCCGGCGCAGTGATGACATAGAACCACACCACTGCCACGAACTGCTTGCATGTCACGTAGACTGACTTTTCTAATGTGTGTTAACAAAAGTAATATTCTTAAATTAGATAACACTAGCCTAATGCAAACTTTAGTACAATTTACATATTGTTTTGCATAATTATATAGATAAGCGTCTATATATGTAATTGTGAGGAGCAGGATAATATCTGATTTACTAAAGTCACGGAATCGCTACCTCTCCATTGGGCTTCGGAATCTGCACGTGGAGCCCTTCAACCAATGTAACCAAAGGATACATACGCAAAAGGAACTATTTTTCATTTAGGATATTGTTTCAATAAACGTTCACCTGATTACTAGTATGTTATGTTTATCTAAATGTCTTGAGTTTTCAAACATGAAACATGAAAAACGGGCAGCTTGTTGAATGAACTGTAAAGATGTGACGAATCGTCACTTCTCGCTGGCCAATGGAGAGGTACTAGGCTTGCCGCATGGAACTCTGGGTAGGAAAGTGCAAACGGGTAGAGAGACGGGGCGTAATACCTTTTCGTGATTGGCTCAAGCTCATTTTAGTCAGCTCCAGCAATATGTTTCATTGTTGAGAATAATGCAACTTGACGTCAGCCATCACAAAGTGATAACATTACGTCACCCGGGGCCCCGTTGCACAAAGCGATGTTAGCGCTACGACTGTCGTAAGCCTATGTTAAAGTATGGGAGTTACGATCACCTTAGCGCTAAGATTGAAAAGTAGGCTGACAGCACTGTTTCCTCGGCTAGACATTTTCATACATTTTTCTTCATTTTCTATCTAAAATGACAATAATATATATATATATAATAACGAAAATCGAAATTAATATAATATTATCTGACACTAATGGATTGGTAACAAATGCCTGACAATACGCCGTTTAAGGGAATATAGGCACCTGGTGTCAAGAAGTGGGACAAGCCAAATGTGTCATTTAACATCCATTTGTTATAGGGTGTCATCTCCAACGACACATCCATACATTTATGATTCATAAACACAGGAATAGGTCAGCTATTATTTATGATAAAAGGAACAAGACAAAAGGTGAAAAGGGTTCACTAATACACCGACTTCGACGCCAACATATTTCTACGTTCAAAACATGAATAGTCATGAGGCTGGTGAGCAAATCAGAGCTTACCGGAAGCACTTGTCTTGCGAGAAGATCAAGTTCACTGTACAGTTGCTTCAGAAAAAAATATAAAACATTTATATATGTTGGATCTCCTTTCTATGATGAGAAATACCCTGGGCCCATTCCCCAGCACAACCTCGTACTGAGTCCGATTCGAATGACACGATGCTAAAATTAGCTATCCAGTATATCACAATGTTCTTCCCTGACTGAAACAAGCAGATACAATATCACCAATACTCGACTTGCCCTGTCCGAAAACTCAGGAAAACATCTTCTCATTCAGCATGTTTGCAAGCATACACTACATTAATATATTCGGGGATTTGCTAGTTGAGTAAACTCTTTGACTAATTAAGTTGGTAAATATTTTCCACAAAATTACAGGATTACTTAACGCGAAGTGCCAGTTCAAAAAGAGTTGTATCCGTGATTGTGGAGAAATGTTGCACGGGAAAATCGAACCTTCATAGACAGTTACTAGTATCTTTCCATGACTGTGAAAGCATATCTTGAAGGTTTGGCACGTCTTTCAGTTAAAGTGACAGGTCTAACATTGGACCCCGTGCTATAAAGGATAGACAGGAAATTGGAAATCGAACCCCAGTGTAACTAAACTGGCTCGCTTGTTATATATTTATGTCTATAGTGATATATTCTTTCCTATATATTGAACAAAAAAGTAAGGGATCATGCATATTTGGGAGGATATTTTTATGACATTGTGTAATGAATCCATCTTCGCTACAAAAAATATGCCCACGAGTGTTCATGATCCCTAACCTTCTTTGTCCAGTATAGATATACACTAGCAAACATTTTCTACAAAAGAATATTACGACAGGTGAATGTCTTTGAGCCTACTCACACTCACCTTCCGAATGTTAATAATCCTTACCATATGCACATTGACAGGACAGACAGGTATTGAATCGGTTTGTTCACGGCGATTTCAGATAGTAATGTATAATGTCATACCAGATCTAAATTCTTTCCTGCATAGTGAATTCTGTTATGCCATTGTGTCCAGATATTACTGCAGCAACCGCAGATTCCGGAGCACCTTTGTTCCTCATTTCAATCTGTTCGGCGTGTTCATCGTACTTCATCTTCTTGTGTTCGTAAAACTCGTACATGGTAATGCAGATGAGGATGATGTTTTTAAGCATGAATGGCGAGATTCCCACACTGAACCCGTGCCAGAGAACCAACCGAACGAGCAGATTGGGAACATTCACCACCAGCACCACAAGTAGCTTGTGCATTGCCACGAGACGTTTTGGCATCTTTTTATACCCAAAGTTGGTTAGGCTGAGTGTGATCAAAGGGACTGTTGGAATGACGAGGTTCAGACCCGCCACGGCTAAAACGGTTTGTTGGAGTCCTGGAAGGAACATGTCCCTTGATCCTTTGTCAAACATCACCTCTAAGACATCTACGGTGTCCAAGACGTCGAAGACGACGGTTCCAGTAAGGTCTTCAATGTATCGTCTCCGTTCGCTACCAGGAGGAGCGTCGTGGTGAGACATCAACAGCAAGATGAAGACACACGCTGCCAAGGCTAGGGAGGTCTTTAACGTGTTCGGGCCAAAGAAGCCCTTTTCGCTTAACCTGAAGGAGAATTTGTTGAAAGAAATGGCCATCCTTGCTACCAGGCTTACCGAGTATACAAGCCAGGCGAACCAGCCCAGCGTGAACGCTCTAGTACGCTCGTCCCCCGCTTTCTGTAGTAACAGGTGTCGTCGTGAGATGATGAAGGAGGCGATGAAGATGCAAACGTTGACAAGGTCGAATGCTAGCCATGCCCAGCTTGCCTGTGTCTGATGTTTGACAAGGAAATAATCCAGTATCCCTCCTTGGGTGAGTAGAAGCAGAATGCAAAAGATTCGAGCTGGGACGCCGTTAAGGACTCCACAGCATCTCACAAAACAGTCCCCAAGCCACATGGTTAATCCCAAGTCTCACACTGATATCGGAAAAATTGAGCTTGACAAACTGAAAATATGAGAAAAATCTTAAACACAAATACCGACACAAATATAATGTTACGTGTCCTCGGAATGTTCTATCGCTTTCCAGCAAGACAGTTAGAAATATCCACGTCAGTGAATCACAACTTGGCGTTATAAACCTTTCTCCACGAAGACTTTGGAAGATTTGACCATGTTTCGACCACCAGGCTGGCAACAAGACTTCAGTACACGTCCATCGAAATAAGACCAGGAAAATGGGTAATTTCGAATTAATTGCACGTTGATACGTATACGTTGAATTACATCAGTGCAAATTGTTGTAGGTAATGCAGTTTCTTAAAGTGTGGTTACGTTTTTCAGACACCTATAACGTTTAGGAGCCGACCCTCAGAGACAGTGCATTGTAGGATGTTCCTGTGGTCATACAGAACGTACTGCTTCTTTAAACACGTGCGTCACAGCACGTCACCATTTATCACAATATGACCTAACAGTCGGAATCTTTATGAAACTTATAAATAATATTATATAAAACTATATGTTAAAGTGCATCGAATAATTGCTGACTTGACAGTCGTCTTTGTGTGAACACCGCCCAATGTGCACTTAGGAAACCACCGAATACGTGACTTCTAGCGTCTCCTATTTTCGTGATGCATTGAATAACCTTAGTTGAAATATGTGTATAACATATTTAATTGTTCACCTGTATACGATATCAGATGATGTTTCATATCAGCACGATGGCCAATGTTTCATCAGAATACGAAATCCAATGTTACATCAGAATGCGATATCCAATGTTTCACCTGAAAACGACATCCAATGTTTCATCAGAATGCGATATCCAATGTTTCACCTGAAAACGACATCCAATGTTTCAACAGAATACGACATCCAATGTTTCACCTGAATACGATATCCAATGTTTCATCAGAATACAATATCCAATGTTTCATCAGAAAACGACATCCAATGTTTCATCAGAATACGATATCCAATGTTTCACCTGAATACAACATCCACAATCTGTGGACAATATCCAGTCGTTCAACTGACTTTCCAATGCTTGACTACAGTGGCATCAATGGAGCTCACACGAGGCAGATGTTAACGATGCCCTTGATACTGATATACATTGAATACAATTATTCCTTCAACGATTGTGATAATGCACGTTTGGCAATTGGTAGATAACCTTTGATCAATAATCGGTTGCTGGCGTGTGATCCGATGAGTGTCCATGGGGGTTTCCCCAAAGGATGCGGTTTATAGCAGAACACTGTCCACTCGAGCTGCTTGGAGCCTGCGGCTGGTGTGTGGATGATTCTAAATCTGTAAAATAAATAACGGGAAAATGAAGCAGATAAACACATTTCTAATGCACGTTCACGTCATGTTTACATACACGAATGAATCTAAACACCTTTCTTCCGTTTAATGTTTCCCATGCATTACTTTATTACAGCCTCCAACATTTCCGATTAATTAATGGCAAGCATGGTGTATTTGAAGAGGTTTAATGATTTGTTGTGGTCGATTATCGACTCAGAAAATACGAGAGAGCGTTAGAATTACATCACCAATGGAAGTACATGTGACTTTGATATTTGATTAGAAGGTGTGTGTAACGTGTTCAAACAACTACAAGAATCAAGAGCTGGTGATAACGGGACGGGCCTTAATTACGACAGGGGCGGTCGGGTAGCCTAGTTGTTAAAGCGTTCGCTCGTCACGCCGAAAACTCGGGTTCCATTCCCGACATGGGTACAATGTGTGAAGCCCATTTCTGGTGTCCCCCGCCGTGATATTGCTGGAATATTGCTAAAAGCGGCGTAAAACCATATTCACTCACTCACTCACTCACTCAATTAAAACGCCTGACCATAGTGGTGGCATAGATGACGCAAACTAGAATGTCAACACATATATACGCAGTCATCAGTATCAGACCGGGATCACGTGACCATTAACGGGATGTTGATTGGCGAGGTATGTATCAAAACTTTAGCACCAGGGGATCCACATTGTTAAAAATTGACCCAAAGCCAAACAGTTATGTAAGTTATGTAGAAGTCGGTCACTGCCTATGTTTGTAGTCTGTTTCGAATCAGATTTTAATTTACTGGAAAAGAAACATTAGCATGACAAATAACAAATGACTTTTTCCTCGCGGACGCCGATTAGGCACCTGGTGTCAAGAAGGGGGACAATGCCCGGGGCTACAGCGAGGACGAGGAGCTGTCGAGGAGCTGTCGAGGAGCCTCTGTTTGTAAAGCCATTTGAAAACACTTCAGCTTAGTTATGGTGGCCCAAGCAAAGGCAATTCACAAGCCAAATGTGTCATTTAACATCCATTTGTTATAGGGTGTCATCTCCAACGACACATCCATACATTTATGATCCATAAACACAGGAATAGGTCAGCTATTATTCATGATAAAAGGAACTTACATTAACAGTACAAAAAACAATAGGAGTCAGAATGTTTATCATTTTGAATAAGATATCAAGGCTTCTCTTCGCATTCGTCACACGTGAATCGCCGAATTGGGGCTTCGTGTATGTCGAAATCGATAACATTCAGCTTATTTATTCATGAATGTAATACAACAAGCCCATTATATGAGACCGACTGCTGATGGAAATATTCCACTGGTCAAGGATGGATTGTTCTGTTTGAATGTAGGCATCACTGGCCATCACTATCTTTTTTACAGACTCAATGTACTTAGTGACCCGTGAAGATCCGGGGTAGAATAGGTCTTCAGCAACCCATGCTTGCCGTAAAAGGCGACTATGCTTGTCGTAAGAGGCGACTAACGGGATCGGGTGATCAGGCTCGCTGACTTGGTTGATGCATGACATCTATCCCAAATGCGTGGGTCGATGCTCATGATGTCAATCACTTGATTGTCTGGTCCAGATTCGATTTTTACAGACCGCTGTCATATAGCTGGAATATTGCTGAGTGCGGCGTTAAACAACAAACAAACACACAGAACTTTGTACTGTATTTGAATCTCACATAGTGTTATGTTTCTGTGACAGCCTTTGATACGGACTCTGTTCAATGTCATACGGTATGTTGCGTCTTATACACTAACGATCAGAAAGTAAAGCGATTCTTAACACAAACATAAATAGTTTAAGTCCAGGGAAGATCAGATGGCATTGTTCCACAGAACGTCACGAATATAAACTCTGGCGATTGCACGTATGAGTGAGTGAGTGAGTTGGGTTTAACGCCGCTTTTTTACAATATTCCAGTCATATCGCGGCGTGTCAGCTTAATGTGGGAGGAAAGCCCGAAGTGATACTCAGACGTTTACCACTTCGGTGAAACCCACGAGCACGGGTATGGTGCTGACAAACCTAGAAACATAATCGGGGCGAACCGGGATTCGAACCCATAATCATAGGTTTCTGGCGTGCCCAAGGGACGCAACTCTGCACAGCGAATCGCGGCGCCTTAGACGACTGGGCCACCCGTGCCCCCGATTGCACGTATGAAATGACGTTGTGAGGAAAACTTTCAATGCACGCGAAGCACACACTGCTCTAAAATCGGTAGCATGGCAAACGAACGTTATTAGCGAAGGGTAAACTATCTGAGAACATGGCATGGCTGCCTGCAGAACAACGAGATGATTTATTGGTATGATGCAGGTGGGAGCAAGTTTGGAGAACGACGCAGGAATCATGCACTGTAAAAGACCCGAAGATAACAAAGTTGATGCATCGTTACATGATAACATGCAGAACTGCAAACAGTGATGATACCAGGTGTTCGCGAAAAGGTGAGCGTATCCTGCGCCACCGGTGGCACCCGTCACAAACACATGCAAAGGCAAGTCAATTGCCCACCATAATAAACACGGGAACATATAGTTCAAGACAAAATAGGGGATTGCATCGGACATAATTTTTGTCACTGACTCGTCAAATTTGGAAATGTCCCCACGTGTTTACCATACACTTTTCGAAAGCTTTACTGAGGCCTTGAAAGTTGTAACCTTGATCAAACAACTTCTGAGCAAGAGTCACACGGCACTCAAAATGACGTCACAATTTCACCCACGATACCATCTGGACAATCTGATCGATCCCTAATTAGAAATTCATACTTAATCCATAATCCTCGTACTTTCGAATGAAATGTCGGGAGTAATCATACATTTTTTCCCCTTCACAGTCTGTTTGAAACAATTTTGCTAATCTGGTCAAATAAACATGTTATCTGACAAAGATGATGTGTGCGTGTGGCAGCGACGAGTGAAAATGTTAACTTTCACCAGATGAGATCAGCATGGTATTTGACAAGGAAATCAGCTGTTTCTTTTAATTTAATAACTTCTTAATGATCAAAGTCAACCACAATTCCAATTAGGCACACTCATAGTAAACGTCCAGGCAAAGAAAGTACACACGACAAAATTGGATTTGACCCAAAAATTAAAAACGTTATCAAAACGTGACTAGGCTGAAAACAGTCACCGAAACAATGCAAGCTTCAGGTCCAAAACACAACTATGATAACTGGCATCAAATACATCACCATCCAATAACTATTTTTTGTCTGTTTGATTTGTAGCCCCCATCCTACATGGATGTATACTTTCTCTAGCCCAGCAGTTTAGGGGGGCACAGGTGGCCCAGTCGTCTAAGGCGCCGTGATTTGCTGTGCAGAGTTGCGTCCCTTGGGCACGCCAGACACCTATGGTTATGGGTTTGAATCCCGGTTCGCCCTGATTATGTTTCTAGGTTTGTCAGCACCATACCCGTGCTCGTGGGTTTCACCGAAGAGGTTAACGTCTGAGACCTGCATCACTTCGGGCTTTCCTCCCACATTAAACTGATACACCGCGATATAACTGGAAAACTGTTAAAAGTGGCGTTAAACCCAACTCACTCACCCAGCAGTTCAGATGTCAAGTAGTTCATCCTGTAGCATGACGTGTTATTTCTCTTGAGTGAAATATGTTGGGATTGGTTACGCTAATGATCAATCAAAGGAAAAAGCAGCAAATGTATGTTGGAAACTGCATCTGGAAATTCATCTTGAAAAAATACGACATTCATTTTAGTACGAATATATATTTCAAGTTCAGCTATCAAAATCGAATACATACATACATACATACATACATACATACATACATAGTATATATGGTTTTCGAACAGGGGCAATCAACGTTCTAGTGCGTTTTATTGTAACGTACAGACTAGTTCAGTTGGTTACTTACGACTCAGCAGATGCCACCAAACAGACCTCGGTGAAATATCCATATCCTGCACAATGCAACACAATCTTAAAGGATTTTAAATACCTACTTGACTTTACACAAATCTTCTTTGAAGGAAATATGCACCTGGAGTTTTAACATTGATTGGCTAAGCGGATTTCATTGAGTGGGAATCCGCAAGACCCTGACCGCATCCCTGCCTCTGTCTACATAGCAGTTCTTACCTGGAAGTAGCAATGATATATATAACTCGTCTTACAAGTAAAATCTGATTTTAAATCCCTGTTTTCCGCGGTCATAAAATACTACAAATGCGTTGGTTTTTTATTGTTCCGAATGTTTTGTCGTAAAAGTTTAACGTAAATGGGAAGAGGGGCAGATCTACCGAAATGGACCGTTTTTTGTTTGGAAAAAGGTTGGAAATGTATTCATACCCGCGATGACTCAAACATTTCTAGAGGTGGTCATCATAACAATTCGAATCGGGATCCGGGATCATTGGATACTGGCGTGCCCAAGGGACGCAACTCTGAACAGCGAATTTCTGCGCCTCAAAAGACTGGGCCACCCGTGACCCCCTATATATATATATACCGCGAACCCTGACATGTTAAAATTATAGGTTTTATATATATATATATATATATATATATATATATATATATATATATATATATATATATATATATATTAAAATAATAAAGTCCACGTTAGTCCATCATCTTCTTACCGAGTGAACATTTACCTCATTTTTGTATATATATATATATACATTATTTGTACATTATCGTTTTTAAAAGCGGTTACATCCTGAGATAAGTTGACAGGGACCACGACTTTCCGCTACACGCTGACAACTACAAACAACATCCATAACATGAGAAACACGGCTTTCCATGACATGTCCACCGCATGCATGTAGAATATACATGTAGAATATATACGTCACATTACAAAACAAACCAAAACAAATACTGAACAGTGACAAAACACAAGACTGTATAACAAGAGGGATGACTTCAACTTTCCAAAAACTTTCCAGCCTATTCACAACAAGTCGAGCATGCTCTTTATACCAGGTTTTCAAAG